CTTAATAATCTAACCATTAAATATTAACTTAAAGAGCAGAAGGAAAGAGGTCTAAGAAGATGCTTTGTTTGTTTGATCTGAATGTGAATGAATTGCTTGACAATGGAAATTATAGAAAGTATCAATCATAAAATCTGAATGTCAATTTTGAAGACAGCTGCTACTCGAATATGGTATGTGGTTGTTATGTCTCCATCAAAACTTGCAGCAAAATGCTTCAGTTGTTATTTATCAAACAGACACCTCAGAGTGATCTCATATGCAGAAAATATAGCACCGTTCACCACAAAAGCTCTAGCAACTGCAGTTCCTAAACCCCTCCATAGCACCTCATATCCTTCTTCTCTAACACTCTTCCTAAGGCAATCCAAAATGCCTCTGTATTTCTGCGAAAAAAGTGTTTGAGCCTGCAATCTTGTTTTTATAACGTCTAAAGGGTAGCTCAAAACCCAACTCACCACCCCAGCTAATCCTCCTGATACCAGCATAGTATTCAGGCTCTCTTCACAACTTCTTCTACAACCAGGGTGAAGCTTCTCCCTTGCATATTCATATGTCCAAAAGTAGAGACCATGTGCTGGTGCATCTCTTAGCATGGTGATCCCAAGTCCCCGGTACATGCCACGAAGACCCTCTATTTTCCATATGTTTTTTGCCACCTTCATAGGACCTTTTCGGGTTTCTATGGATTGACCTGTGTTCTGCAACTGAAGCCGAATTTTAACTAACTCAACAGGGGATAGTATCATACTCTGTATGGCACCGCTACAAAATCCTCCTAAAGCAACACCCTTGTAAGAAGGAGGATCGTTAACCAAATCGGACGAACTAAATGCCCTTGAAAGAATTGCGTAAATTTGGAAAACCATAGCATTCTGCACCCAACAAAACAATCACCTCAATTTGGGATAGATACATTTTATGAAGGATTTCAGTTCATGTTCGAACATTTTTGTGCCCAACGAACATGATTAATGAAGTCGAAGACATATAAATAGACAAGTGATGATTATTGCTGCAAGGTTTTTCCTCTCTCAGTAAAACACTGATCATAATGAGTAAACTTAAAAGTAAATGGTTTGAAATATTTGTCCATCAAAAAGCTACTTTATTGCTGGCATGACACATTTTACAGTGACAATTATGCAGTAAACAAAATCTCTCAAAAAAATGCTAGTATTTTTTAGAAGGAAGACAAACATTGATAGGACTTAGATAGCTAATGGTATAGTTAATAATTGGATGCAGATAGTGGATCAATTGATGATTCCTGAATAATCCAGAAGCCATTCATCGATGGCTCATCCAAAATATAGTTTAATATTGCCTCTAGGCGTCCATCACTCAGTGGGCCACGATTTGTAGTTAATCCACTAACAAATAATTGAGTAAACAATGGGGACTTCAGAATTCCCATGGGTGATTGAACAAACATTCCAAAGGATTTGAGAACTCCAATAACTGAGTATGAATATAATATGATAAATGTCATGGAGTATTGTTAGGAGTAGGACCCTGACATATAAGAAAATAAAATAAGAATATTTCACAAATAAAACCTCCAAACCCTTCAGCAAGGGAAAATCACTAACAATCATAGTACGATCTATTACAATAAACAACGAATTCAATTAACACAACATGTATTTATATAATAAACAACAATGTATTGTAATATTAATCATTAACTTTGATTAAAATCAGCCTAAAAACAAAAGAAATCGAGTTCCCAAGTTCAAAAACCTCATGAATTAATAAAAATATGTAAAAATAAATTTCCGACAGGCTCTCTGCAATTGAGGTGGCTGGAAGATTGTACATGCAATAAGAACAGAGTTACAGAACAGGCCAAAAATCTAAGATATTATTAGTTGGATGTGGTCTGGCACGCGAAGGATATAAAGGGATATAGTACCCCATCAACCACGTGACGAGCCTGATCGCAAAACATGTCTGCTTTAAACTTACAGTAACAGATAAAAACCTAGTGTAAATTGAGGGATGGAAGTAAAAAAAAAAAAAAAAAAGCTTACCTGAAAGGTAACAGAGGCCAAAGGTGCCGCCATGCCGCGGTAGAGAGCGGTTGGTCCTTCATTGGCCACCACATTTCTGAGGATGCTGAAGGCGGAGGCGGTGTTGAAGGAGTTCTGCTGCATCACACGGAGAGTGTCTAAAGGGTAACCGGAGATTATTCCGGCAGTGCCTCCAAACCCTCCTGCTACAAACTCTTTTCCGGTGCTGCTCGCAAGAAACTCCGGCCAAAACTCCATTTCTACCTCTTCTTCCTTTCACTCTCTTCAGAGCCTGTTCAAAATGAAAATTTGGAATTGATATTGTGCGCCTTGTTATTATATAAAGGCCAAGTGACATATCATTTTACCATGGGGTCTGATGAGCAAATACTGAAAATACTTTATTCGTGGACTAATCACTGACGAACACGTGGCGGCGAGTCTTTGTCACGGACTCATGGAGCTTTCATGTGATTTGAGCTTAGTGATCTGATAACTTTTTGAGATGATAAGAAGCAATATGTTTGGAAGATGAAAAGAGCTTGATTTATAAATGAAAACAACGTGTGAAGATAAACCAAACATGTTTTTGGATACGTGTTGGAATTGATTACTGGAAGTGACTTGTAAAGTGTGTTAGGTAGTAGGAAGGAAAATTGCAGGGGATTGAATAAAAAGCTAAAAAAAAATTATTATTATTATTTAATTTAGTTGAAAGTCTTTTTGGGTCTCACTATTTTCTTTAAACAGCCTACAATTATTTAATTTCCGTCCTTTTTTTTCTTTATGCATTAATATTTTTGGTAAACCAATGTCTTCACTATTTAAAAAAAACAAAATAGAAATTTGGACAGCAATCCAAAAGGTGTAAAGTAAAAGGATAAAAGGTCATTTGTACTATTACTTTGAAACACTACAAACTTTTACGTATTTTATCTTTGAACCTCTGTTTCTTTATAAATATAAAAAGTTAACTTTTTTATTCATCAGAATATTCCTAAAAGTTAACTATCAAGTGGTGTAAAAAAACATTTTTCAAGGTCATGCTTTACTTTACTGGCATAAACTATAATACCAAGAACTTCCAGAGCTAAAAGTGATGCAGCCCAGGAATGTGAGCAAGGAAATGATGGTGCAACACAATTGTAGAATTATCTTCCATGTGTGCTAGAAAGTGTTAAGTCATTTGAGGAATGAAGTTCTTGTCTGCTGTAAGGAAGCACAGAGTCTTCCACAACCACATTGATGAAGAACGCTGGCTGCTTTGGTTGGGGAAGTTGCATTGTATCATTTGATAGAAATGAAACAATGTCTTCCATGGTTGGTCTATCTGTTGCTTGATCTTGTACACACAGCAGGCCGATATGAATACATCTCAAAACTGCATTCTGAGGACATAGTTCATACGAATCTGGGTCTATCAACCCCAGAGCTCTGCCTTCATTCCAGAGCTCCCACGCCTACAATACAAGCATCCCAGCATCCAAATAAAACTTTTAACCTTTTATAAGCATAAATTTAATGAACTAATCATTTGATAATGAGAAACTTACGTATCCTATGAGGTTGAGTGGACGATCCGAATCATAACGACTGTTATTTTTCTTGCCACTGAGTGTTTCTAGCAGCAGCACACCAAAGCTGAATACATCTATTTTGATGGACACAACACCATTTATTGCATACTCTGGAGCCATGTATCCACTGAAAAGATCGAATCTTGCGTAAGGATGGATGAAAGGGAAGAGTTTTGAAAATGCATGACCCAGTTATAAACTTACTATGTACCAACAACTCTGTTTGTGTTTTCTTCTGATGCTCTTACACCGAATATTCGAGCCATGCCAAAGTCAGATATCTTAGGATTCATCTCGTGATCAAGTAATATATTACCTGCTTTCAGATCTCGATGTATCACCTTTAGTCTCGAGTACTTGTGCAGATAAAGAAGTCCTTGAGCAATGCCTCCAATGATGTTCAACCGTTTTTCCCAGTCTAGCAAATTCTTTCTAGTTGAATCTGTTATGAAGTCAGCATGGCTGTTAAAATGATACTTCATGCTAACATCTGGCACAGTCTTACCTTGGCAATACCTTCGTTAAGAGACAAAAGAAAGCTTACCAAATAGGTAGAAATCTAAGCTCTTGTTAGGCATGTATTCATAAACCAATATTCTTTCATCTCTCTGGATGCAGAACCCTAGAAGCTTTACAAGATGAGTGTGTTGGAGTTTGGCCATAAGTTTGGCTTCATTCTTAAATTCTATCACCCCTTGTCCTGAACTTTTAGAAAGTCGCTTGATTGCTACTTCTTGCTGATCACGCAGTGTTCCCTGAAGATCATTGTATCAGTTCTTATCCAGACAGTTTCAAATTTAAGCAAGAAAGTTAATTAATTGTTATGCAGATTTATGGTTTCAAAGTACCTTATAAACAGGACCAAATCCACCCTCTCCTAGCTTATTGGCCGCTGAGAAATTCTCTGTTGCAGCAACAATGGTTTCAAAGGTGAATATTTCAACCCCATTGCTTGTCTTTCCCTTGTTCTTACTTTTTCTAGAATTACCTCCAATATCAAGTAATAACTTCTCCTGCATCTTCTTTCTCTCCACTGGTGGTGAGACATGAACATGTAAGTTATGAAAAGGTCTTGCAGACTTAAACTCACTAAACCATATCCAAATTATGACAGTTACCTTTAGCTTTGTAGTTTCTCCACAAGGCACGCCATGAAGAGAAAATTACAGGTATTGCAAATGCTGCTGCCACCCCAACGATGAGCCATATGTACCACCGGTTTACTGCAACTCACAGATGGATAATTTACTACTCTGAAAAGGTGGCTGAAAATTGTTTAGATGGTAATTAGAGGGTTTATTACTCATGTATTCTTACTCCATATCCTATGCAAGGTACCTTATGAAAATACTTTCAAAGAATCAAGAATGATAATCAACTTACCAGGACCCAATGACTAGTAATTTTAGCTTATGAAAACGTCATTTTTCTGTATTGTACGGGAAAACTACTCTAAACATTCTCTTGTCATTGTAATTCCATTAAATGTTTTATTTCCTTGTTCTAGGACAAGAAGCAAAGGACATTGTCACCTGTGGTGGTAGGGAATCTGGACTTACCTTTGTCTTCTGGGAGCAGTGCAACAGAAACATAGATAGGCAGTGATTTGTCTGCAGAAGCTCTAACGAATTCTGTTCCTTTGAGCCATATCTGGCATCCGGTATTGTTTTTGCGGTTTATTGGGGCATATGCTTGACACGAACAATTGTTCCTACATATGATCTCACAGCACTGCGTACCATTGCTGCCGGCATAAATTTGTATGCCAACGTTGGACATGTTACCAAAACTTTCCACAAAACCACCTTCAGAGCTCCTGCATGCACGAAGGCTTTGCTGTGTGCATAGAGAATCTACCGTCTGATTTATGTGAAAATTTTGAATGTAGGAGCTGTATCCACTCGTTTCATCCTCGTACCTTGACCACAACATAACACCTCCATAATTTGATGACTTTTTAATCTCAGGCAAGATCTTAGAAACTAATACATCAGCCGGAACATAACCGCTTCCAGCTGCAGTTTGATCTGCTGGTAACCCCAGAAACATTTTCCCTGCCTTCAATGAGGTGGACCAAAGGTTCCATGCTTTAAGGAGGTTGTCGAAATTGTTGTCGGTATATTGGCATGGAGGATTGTTGTAGAATTGTATCCAGACATAGTCAAAAACGCCAGTAGCAAGGACTGAATCCAGCCTAGCATCAGGAAATGGACACTGAGGAGCTGCTGACAGGTACACTTTACGTGTCTGTGAATATGAAATGAGTTGAAGAGAAAGGTTTCCCAGGAATGATGATTCACCTGCCTGTATGTCAAAGTCAATGCCATCTAAGACAACATCCCCAAATGGGCGTGATGAGGATGAACCACCCAGGAAATTGTCCCACAAGTAGTCGGAAACATTCTTGGCATCCTCAAGGGAAGTTATAGAGTAATCATCAGTTCCTCCTCCAATAGAAAGCATCACCTTGATCCCTTGCTTTTGACAATTTCTAATTTCTCTTCCCATCTCAGTGCACCCATTAGTAGATGCGTCACAATGACCAGCCAGGTTCAGTTTTGGGGTTTGGCCATTCCCAAAGGTGGAAAGAAAGGCTATGTTGACGTAGGAGTATTTTCCTGTTGCACACGTTTCTGTCAGGTTTCCCTCATTGGCCTTTTGACCCCAGTAAATGCCAATGTGTTCACCTTCAGAGGGCTGAAGTAGACAGAGGAAGAACAATAGAGAGGGAAGCACATTTCTCCTCATCTTGCTCTCTTTCTTTTATCACTGTTTTTTTTCTTGGTATCAATCGACCGATATCCAACCTAATATGCATTATCTATGGCTGCAATCCTCCAACTTTACCCATCACGCGTTTTTGTTCTTGTTCTAACGCTTGCAAATTCATACACGTCTACCAACCCTTTTCTATCTCTTTTCTACTTTCTTTACCACGATAACCATTGACTTTGACTAACGATCTCTCTACATACTGTAGAGCTCAGAACAATGTAATGTGTTTGCATAGACGGTGCAAAAGCGCGTCCACCAAAATAGAACTTACATGTCCTATGAGATTGATCGGGTGGTCTGGTCCGAATTAGAATTCTTTTTACCACTGATAATCTCAAGCATCAATACTCCGAAACTAAAAACATCCATGCATGTTGAGTGAACAAGAATTTGAATATTTTCCAAATCTAGCACCAAGCACCAACTTAGTCAACTTTCATCATCAAACTTGGTTTGCTTAAAAACTAATCATAATAATTTTTTTTTGCACCAAGATTTTTACTATAGCCATTTGATGATATAAAGAGTGCATTCTTATCATTAAACCTCAAAAACTAGGGCTGGACAAAAAATAATTGATCTGTACTGTACTATAGTTAACTATACTATATTATACTTAAAAAAACTGATCCACTTTTACTAAAAGTTCAGTATACTATTTTATGGTTTAGTTTTTAAAAACTAAACATATAACAGTTTCGATTCAGTTAACTGTGTATCTACTCTTTTCTCTTCTCTAGTTTTCGTTCAATTGTTCCGTCTTGTTAAGAAAATGTTATTTAATAATAAAATATTAATAAAAGAAACCGTTCAAATAAAAAATTAATAATGAATTTTTTTAAGACAAAATATTTTTATCACAAATTTTTATATTTTTTCATCAATAAACATGTATTACTTTTTAAATAATATTATTTTAAGTAATAAAAGTAAAATATATTTTTTTAAATTTAATTTTATTAAATGATTAAGTAATATAAATCATAAAAAAAGACTATATAAAAAAATAATACTTTAAATATATTATATTCTTTAACATATTATTAATATATGTAAAAATATGTTAAAAAAAACTTTTAATGATATTAAAATGTGTGTAAGCGCACACACTAAAATAACTATTTATTTTAAAAATTAACTTACTTTAAAATAAATATCAATATTAATATTTTTAAATGATAGTATTTTACATACTAAAACTAAAATATATTTTTTAACGTTAAATTTTATTAAATGAATATATAATGAAATATCATAAAAAAATAATAATGTAGCAAAAATAATTAATATTATAGAAATATCAAATGACAAAAAAATTAACAAATGTTTATTAAGAGTAATTTTTCTAGTATCATCTTTTATTATATTATAATAATTAATAAATATTAGTTTAATTTTTACGTAATAAAATATAAATAATAAATAATTGATTAAAAAAACAATTTTACGAGGGAATAAAATAAATATAAATAAAAAATTATTTTAAAATAAAATAAGTAGATAAAAAGATAAAATAAATTATATACACATATAAAACAAAAAAATATAAATAAAAAATTAAAAAAATAAATATAAAAGTAAAATAATATTCATGACAAAATAAATATAAATAAAAAATAAAAAATAAAATAAAATAAAATAAAATAAATAATAAAATAAGTTTCATACACATATAATAATAAAAGAAATATAAATAAAATAGAAAATAATAATATCAAATAATTAAAAAGTTAATTTGTAAGACACTTATGAATAAAATAAAATAAATATTAAAAAAAATTCATTTAAAAAGAATATGTATTATTATACTATTCAGTTTAAAAACTAGTACAATTCAGTTTAAAAACTACTACAATTGAGTTTAAAATTAGTATAATTCAGTTTAAAATTAGTATAGTTAGCAGTTCAATTTAGTTTATATTGTAGTTTAGTACAATTTAGTATAGTTGATAAATCAAAAAACAGTTTAGTTCAGTTTGTTTGAACTGTTTTACAGCTCAGTTTATACAAATTAGTTTTTAGTTCAGTACGATTTTAGTAGTACAGTGCAATTCAGTTATATTTGTCCACCCCTATAAAAAAACCAAGACTTTGAAAATTTCTTAAATCTTAACATCAACATTAACTTAATCAAGTTTCACCACTAAACTTGATTAGCTTGAAAATCAATCAAAATGATTTTTTTTTACCTAACTAAAGAGTCATGTAACCACAAAACCAACATGAAATGGTGAACTAAGGGAACATGAAAAAAGAGTAAAGAATTTGCGGTTGAATTTTTTAAACAAAAGTACATGTTATTAACATAGATATTGATTTTATGATAATTAATTATTGATAAATATTTGTATTTTTTATTATAAATTATGTATTTTGATATAAATTTTTTTTATATTAAATTATAAAATTGATATAATAATTAATTAATAATATGTACTGAAACAATATTATTGTATAATTAAAACTTATAGTTAAATTTTTGAATTATATACGTCGTTGTTAATCTAAAAATATAGATTTGTTATATAATATGATATTGTATAAAATAAATATAATACAAAATTTAGAAATCTGAAATATACATTCATGGAGATATAAGAGAATAAAATATTGATTATTTTTATTTTTAAGATAATAAATATTTAGTATTCTCCACCATATTTTATAAATTTTAATTTTGTTTATAGTTAAAATTTTCTAAGCCACATTGAGATTTTGCTTTTTGAAATACTGTTCGTCCCATCATTCTCCTGCCATCCTTGCTTTCCCTTTTCTGAAGCCGCAGTTGTCCTTCGCCCAACAGTTATAATTTGGCCTTATTTACATGTGGAATTTTCAATACACCTTTTTTAAAGCCTAAATCAACTCCAAGAACCTGAACTTATATATATTGGCGGGAGTTCCAGTGCATCAAATCTTTCGGCGTTGCAGCTTCGGCGGAAGCCTATGCTTCCCTTTTTCCTCCATCGGTTGTTATGGCAGTGGAGAAGGAAAAGCTTCAGGAAGAATCCGTAATCCGCCGCTTCTACAAGATTATTCTTAGTTGGGACTACTCAGCTCTCCTCGATGAATATAAGGCAATACACTTTATTCCTTACTATTTTTCTTTGTTGCTGTGTTTTTTTCTTTTTAATTTGCTTTCGTAATGTCTTTTGGAAGTTGGTATTTTCAGGAGCAGAAGGAAGGGACTGCGGAGTCGACACTCGTGAAGGTGAAGAACCGGTATACAGACGTTGATGACTATATTGCAACCTACGAACCGCTCATCTTTGAAGAAGCCAAATCCCAGATCATTAAGGGGAAAGAGGAAGAAGAGGGTATGTTTAATTTCAACTATTTTTTCGTTTTTTGAGAAGAGGTCCTTAGCCCTTTCTATACTATTCTTGTTAATTGGGTGGGAGTGACTGACTTTGTAGCACTAGTCAGAGGACTGTTAAAGCCCTGTCTAAGTTGCGGTTCTCCCTTTCTCACTTCAATTTAAATAATAATTGGTTTGCTTTTCATGTTTTAAAGTTAGAAGGGTCCACCAATGTAGTGAGGTATGGTTGACAAATAAATCTACTTAGTAAGCACATAATCAAAGGTCCGATTCTGAGTCTGTGTTAATAGAGAATATCTATTAAGAGAGACTTGCCCTTTAAATATAGTTTTGGATTAGTCTTTTTAGCTGTCGGCTTTGAGAGACTTCATAAATCTTTGTATTAGTCTCAAGCACTCTACTGAGATACCCTAGGGACCAAAATAAAAGTTTGAAGGGTCTTTTTGCTTAAGAATTTTTTTTGTTTGCCTGACCAGTGACTTATTGCAAATTGGGGGTGGTAAAAAGTTGGTGTGAGGCAGATGATTTTCATTTTATAGAATTTCCGTGTGAAATTAATGAGGGAGAATCAATATCACAGAATGATCTTTTGCTGCTTTCCAGAGATAAGGTACTACCAGTGATGAGAAGTTATGTGTTTTGGGCTTTGAATTTTTTGCCTATTCGAATTTGAATTGATGCCTATCTGTATTTTTATCGCAGCTGTTCTTAGATAGAAAAATATTACCTACTGTTTATGCATTTGCTTTGGTGGAACATGTCCGGAAATATTTTGGTACCCGACTTGTTCGAGTTAGACTCTATCTTGCTGGGGAGTTCTTAAAATATAATACAGATGATGTAAAATCTTGCCCTAGGCTGTTTAACATGCGATCTCATATATGCGAGACAGAAAGACAGTTATATTTTATGAAGGTAACCTATTCTATCATGTACTTCTAGTGATATCAATATTGTGTGTGTTTCGTATGTGGAGGCTGCCTTCCTTGATTAATTGTATTATTAATTTATAATAGAAATATAAAGGTTTTCAGAATTTTTTTTTTCTTAACAAAAGGCATTTTCTTTTAAATTAGCTTTGCCGTTGATCCAATGTGAAAATCATGCAGCAATGCAGCTTATCTACAATTGCTCGTGAATATTTGGCTATTCGAACTTTAGGCTGTCTCCCGTACAAGGATTTAATATTAAGTGCAGTTGGAGAAGATTTTGGCACAGAAGTCGATGGATGGAAAATCCCAACACCGTTGAGGGAATATGTTGAAAATAGTTTTAATCAGTACCAGCGTGAGGCCATTACAGTGAGTTTTTTTATTTTAGAAGTTCAATAAAGTAAATAAAACTAAAACTTGTTCATCAACTCAGGTTTGTTTTTTTGTCTTTCTTCTTTTTTTAAGCAATCGAATTTACTTTTTCTCTTTTTTTGTTACTGATATATAGTTTGGAAAGAATAAATGCTGGATTATGACAAGAGGGGGGCATATTTGCAAGTTTGGATTTCACATTTAGTTAAAGGATATACTACTCAAACGTATTATGATGCATAGCATATCATTCAGAGTTCTGTTTTACTTTTTTGTCACCAAGTTTTTTCAATTTGAAAATGCTCCTTGTTTTCCACGTTTCTTTTCTTCTGTACTTGTTAAAGGCTTGGGTTTTTCCAATTTCAATCTCATCTTAATTTCTTTTGGTTTTGATATAGGAGTCAGAAAAAGAAATGTAGGAGCAAAAGGCATCCAAAACAAACTACCTAATATCTAATTTCAAATGAACTGAAACAATAAACTTAAATCACGCATTTATCTCCCCATCTTTATAAATTCTTTCTCCTTTATTATTTTCTTTTGTCCAATAAAATTCTTATCACTCTTTTGGAAGATAATGTGCTTTTGTTGATGAACCCTTTTGAAAGATCTTTTAAAAAATTTAAAAGCTGTTACATTTATACTTTCTGAACAAATTCTCCTTTCTCAAAGTTAGCTTTTGTAAGGTGAAGCATAATAGTTTAGCTAGGAAAGAAAACCATTTTATCCCTTTAGTTTAAAGCATATTCAAGCATGCACAATTGTTAGAAAAATCTACACTGCAACATATGCCATCATAATAAGTTACAAGTCAAACAACAAAGAGGAGAAAAAAGAAAGTGAAGATTGATTAGAAGTTTTCATTCCTTAATAAGATGTAAAACTCTTGTAACCTTTATTCATTCCATTTTAACATTTTATTTCTGTTCCAGGCTGGTCTATCATCAAAAGCCTTTGAGTACAATTCAGTTTAAAAACTACTACAATTGAGTTTAAAATTAGTATAATTCAGTTTAAAATTAGTATAGTTAGCAGTTCAATTTAGTTTATATTGTAGTTTAGTACAATTTAGTATAGTTGATAAATCAAAAAACAGTTTAGTTCAGTTTGTTTGAACTGTTTTACAGCTCAGTTTATACAAATTAGTTTTTAGTTCAGTACGATTTTAGTAGTACAGTGCAATTCAGTTATATTTGTCCACCCCTATAAAAAAACCAAGACTTTGAAAATTTCTTAAATCTTAACATCAACATTAACTTAATCAAGTTTCACCACTAAACTTGATTAGCTTGAAAATCAATCAAAATGATTTTTTTTTACCTAACTAAAGAGTCATGTAACCACAAAACCAACATGAAATGGTGAACTAAGGGAACATGAAAAAAGAGTAAAGAATTTGCGGTTGAATTTTTTAAACAAAAGTACATGTTATTAACATAGATATTGATTTTATGATAATTAATTATTGATAAATATTTGTATTTTTTATTATAAATTATGTATTTTGATATAAATTTTTTTTATATTAAATTATAAAATTGATATAATAATTAATTAATAATATGTACTGAAACAATATTATTGTATAATTAAAACTTATAGTTAAATTTTTGAATTATATACGTCGTTGTTAATCTAAAAATATAGATTTGTTATATAATATGATATTGTATAAAATAAATAAAATAAAAAATTTAGAAATATGAAATATACATTCATGGAGATATAAGAGAATAAAATATTGATTATTTTTATTTTTAAGATAATAAATATTTAGTATTCTCCACCATATTTTATAAATTTTAATTTTGTTTATAGTTAAAATTTTCTAAGCCACATTGAGATTTTGCTTTTTGAAATACTGTTCGTCCCATCATTCTCCTGCCATCCTTGCTTTCCCTTTTCTGAAGCCGCAGTTGTCCTTCGCCCAACAGTTATAATTTGGCCTTATTTACATGTGGAATTTTCAATACACCTTTTTTAAGCCTAAAACTCCAAGAACCTGAACTTATATATACTTATATATATTGGCGGGAGTTCCAGTGCATCAAATCTTTCGGCGTTGCAGCTTCGGCGGAAGCCTATGCTTCCCTTTTCCCTCCATCGGTTGTTATGGCAGTGGAGAAGGAAAAGCTTCAGGAAGAATCCGTAATCCGCCGCTTCTACAAGATTATTCTTAGTTGGGACTACTCAGCTCTCCTCGATGAATATAAGGCAATACACTTTATTCCTTACTATTTTTCTTTGTTGCTGTGTTTTTTTCTTTTTAATTTGCTTTCGTAATGTCTTTTGGAAGTTGGTATTTTCAGGAGCAGAAGGAAGGGACTGCGGAGTCGACACTCGTGAAGGTGAAGAACCGGTATACAGACGTTGATGACTATATTGCAACCTACGAACCGCTCATCTTTGAAGAAGCCAAATCCCAGATCATTAAGGGGAAAGAGGAAGAAGAGGGTATGTTTAATTTCAACTATTTTTTCGTTTTTTGAGAAGAGGTCCTTAGCCCTTTCTATACTATTCTTGTTAATTGGGTGGGAGTGACTGACTTTGTAGCACTAGTCAGAGGACTGTTAAAGCCCTGTCTAAGTTGCGGTTCTCCCTTTCTCACTTCAATTTAAATAATAATTGGTTTGCTTTTCATGTTTTAAAGTTAGAAGGGTCCACCAATGTAGTGAGGTATGGTTGACAAATAAATCTACTTAGTAAGCACATAATCAAAGGTCCGATTCTGAGTCTGTGTTAATAGAGAATATCTATTAAGAGAGACT